GCCCAGTGCTCAACACAGCAAGTGCACTCCTTAATTCCCATCATTTATTTCACCCATCCCCCCACCTCCCCTATGGAAGCCATCAGTTTGTTCTCTATAGTTAAGAATCTGTTTCTTAGTTTGCCTATCTCTTTTTTTCCTCCCTTTATTCGTTTGTTTTCTTAAATTCTATGTATAAGTTAAGTCATATGGTATTTGTCTTTCTCTGACTTATTTTGCTTAGCCTAATACTCTCTAGCTCCCTTCATGTCCTTGCAAAGGGCAAGATTTCATTCTTTTTAATTTCTTTTAATATTTTATATTTGAAAGAGAGACAGAGCATGAGCAGGGGAGGGGCAGAATTTGAAGCAGGCTTCAGGCTCTGAGCTGTCAGCACAGAGCCCAACGTGGGGCTTAAACCCGCAAGCAGTGGGATCATGACCTGAGCTGAAGTCATACGCTCAACCCCAGTGGAGCCATCCAGGCGCCCAAGCTTTCATTCTTCTTTATGGCTGAGTAATATTCCATTATATATATATTATACTATATATTATATAGTATATATAATTATATATATAAATATGTATACTAATTCTTTATCCATTCATCAGTCAATGGACACTTGAGCTGTTTCCATAATTTGGCTATGGTACAAAATGCTGCTATAAACATTAGAATGTGTGTATCCCTAATTCAAAGGGATACATGAACCCTGAATTAGGGATACCTATTGAAAATTCACATTATATAAGTAAGCTTCCCTGTGGATTTTCAGAAGAATGTTGGGAGAATGATTCTATATAAGACTAAAATTCTTCCTTGTCAAACACATAGAAGCCAGAGGGAGCCATTTTTGAGGGCTTATATTAATAAATATTACTGCCTACCTTGAAATTACTTCTTGGTGAAACCCTGAGACTTTAGCTTATGTATGTGATTGTTAGCAGCTGGAAAAGTTTTTGCATACTAATCTCAGTTACCTTTACTTAGCTTTTCTAATAAAATAAATATGTTTAGGCTGGTTTTCTTTATATCCACTGGCATTCACTAGTCACCACCACCATCATCTGGAGTGGCAAACTACCTACATACTTTCCATTTCCATTCTTTCCCTGCCCTAAGCCATTCTCCACTTTTACAGTTTACTTTATAGTGAATTGGACTTTTTAGAGCCATAGATTTTTATCAGTTTGCAAGCCTAATTATTATCCATGTATTTCTTCCCGCTCTTGTGTTACGAATGGGAAAATTTTGCCTCAGAAGGCAGAGATCCAAAAGACAGAGCTATCTAATGTTAGAATACATGTTCATTCAGATGCTTCCACGTGCAATTTATTCCCACTCTAAAGGCATTATAAATTTTAATTATAATATTATTTTGAAATACTGTAAGTGTTGAAATATGGTACTATTAATATATCTTTTCCAACATATCCATAGACTTTTCTTTGTACATTACAATATACATTTTGAAAACTACTTTGCAAAACATTAACTATCAAATCACTTAAAAAAACTACTTTTAAATTTTGTAATCATTGTATTATTTTTTATCATGATAAGTGTGCCCTTTATTTTTAAGAATTTTGTTTTTAAAGTTTATTATTTTGAGATAGAGAGTGTGAGTTGGGGTGTGGCAGAGAGAGAATCCCAAGCAGGCCCCGCACTGTCAGCACAGAGCCTGATGCAGGGTTCAATCTCACCATGAGCCCAAATCAAGAGTCAGATGCTTAACTGACTGAGCCACCTAGGCACCCCAATAAGTATACTCTTTAATACCATCCCCTATGTCCTCCTTCCCCCCGCCCACCTCCTCCCTTGTAACCAGTAAACTCTGAGAGTTGTCAAAAAATTGTTTTCTAATTAAAACAAAAATAAATAAAAATTAAAAAAAGTTTTGAACACTTGCTCTGTATTTTTTTAATACATTGAAACTATGTAATCTAAAATACATGTGTCCCAATTAAGTCAGTCTTTATAAAGTTTTTAAGGTTACAATGGAATGATTCACAATTATATCCTCAAAGAAAAGAACTATTGTTATTATGATCTTTATAAAAAACTTTATGTATTTGGTTATAAATTTCACTTTTAGGAAAGAGTGTTGGCTATCAGCAGTTACAAATATTTTAAGCTGTGGTACCTGTGTGGCTCAGTTGGTTGAGCATTTTACTCTTGGTTTGGGGTCAGGTTATGATCTCGCGGTTCGGGGGTTCTAACCCTGCATGGGGCTCCATGCTGACAGCACAGAGCCTGCTTGGGATTCTCTCCCTGTCTCTCTGCCCCTCCTCTCCTTGCACGTGCTCTCTCTCTCTTCCTCTCTCTCTCTCTCTCAAAATAAATAAACTTAAAAAACACCCAAATATTTCAAGCTAATAGCAAAATAAATTAGAATAATTAGCTGGGATTTTTTTTCTGGTCATTGAAAGTCATTTGGTATATAATCTAACAAAAGGAAATATTTCCTATTGTCAGGTAGGAATTAGCTTTGAACTAAACTGGAAGGAACTGATAGTTATCAGCTATATGTAAGCATAATTATAAATATGGTTTTTCATTTTTATTAGGTATAACTTGTGTACAGTAAAATTTACCCTTTTTACTTTCGTAAATATATTGTCATGTGACTACCACCAATATCAAGATAGAGAACTGCTCCAACACTTAAATAAGCCCTTTATGTTCCTTTATAGACGGTGCTTCCCTAGTATTGCAATTGACTTGTTTTCTGTCTCTATAGTTTTGTGTTTGTAAGAAAGCCAAATAAATTGAATCATGCAATATAAAGCTTTTTTATTGTTTTTTTTTCCAATTTGAGATTCTTTCAAATCATTGCGTGTATTATTCAACTATTCACTTGTATTCCAGAGTTGTATTCCACTGTATGGGTGTAACACATTTTGTTTATTGGTTTTACAGTTAAAGCACAATTGGCCTGTTTTCAGTTTCTGTTGATTCCAAACAAAACTGTCACAAATATTTGCATATAGATTATTGGGTGAGTGCACATCTTTTACTTCACATAGATAAATATACGTAATTGATTGGTTATAGGGTAAGTGCCCTTTTAACATTATAACAAATTGACAAAATTTTTTCCAAAATGGCTATACCATTTTGAATTCCAAAGAAAATTGTTGTGACTTCTAGTTGCTCCATATTTTTGGTAATACCTGGTAACTTTTAGCCATTTAAACACATATAGTGACATTTAATTATGGTTTGAATTTGTCCTTCCCAATGATTTGATGTTGAGCATTTTCTTTTGTACTCATTGGCCATCCATATTTCTGTTTTGGAGAAGTGTCCAAACATTTTGTCCAATTTGGGGAATATTTGCTTTTATTTTTGTTGAACTTTGAGAGATCTTTGTATTTCTGAATAGAGCTATCAATTATGTATTAGCATGTATTGATATATTTCTCTCTTTCTGTAAGCTGTCTTTCACTCCTTTAATAATATATATTTTGTCAAAGTGCATAATATTTTGATTATGGTAAAATCCAATTTATGTTTTATTTTATGGTTTGTGCTTTCAGGGTTGTATCTAAGAAATCTTTGCCAAATGTAAGATTTACCCCTATGTTTTCTACTAAGGATCTTTGTTTTTTATTTTACATTCCATTTAGGTCTATGGTACATTTTAAGTTTTTTATTTGGGTAAGAGGTATATGATATGAGTTGAGTTCCACTTTTAGCCAACATATATCTAATAGTTCCAGCACTATTTATGAAAAAACTGTCCTTTCCCTGAAGAGTTATCTTTAAACCTTTATTGAGGGGCACTTAGGTGGCTCAATCGGTTAAGTGTCTGACTTCAACTTAGGTCATGATCTCATGGTTCCTGAGTTCAGCCTGCATAGGACTCTCTGTTGTCAGCGCAGAGCCTGCTTCAGAAACTCTGTCTCCCTCTCTCTCTACCCCTCCCCTGCTCGTACTCTCTCTCACAAATAAATAATCATTACAAAATAAAAACAACCTTTGTTGAGAATTCATTGAACTTTTATTTAAGCATCTTTTTCTGAGCCCTCTTTTTACTTTCACTGATCTATATAGCCCACGACTTCAATTCCATTCCATCCTCACTATTTTATGATTATAATAGGTCTAGAGAGTAGGTAGTGTTAGTAAGCTTGCTTTGTTCTTTCTTAAACTTGCTTTCCTTATTACAGTTCCTTATCCTTTTTGTATAAATTTTTAATCTACATTTACATAAAGTTAGACTTTGTTGATTTCTTTCAAGAAAAGCTTGGTAGGGTTTGATTGGAATTGCATTATTGGATCTTTCAATCTGTGACACAGGAATACCACTCACATTGTTTAGTTATTTTTTTATTTGTTTCATCAGTATTTTGTAGTTTTCAGCATACAGATCTTACACATATTTTGCAAGATTTTAGGTGATTTATATGTCTTTTCATGCTATTAAAAGTAGTGATATTTTTATCTTAATTTGCAGCTTTTCATTTCTAGTCTTTAAGGATACAATTGATTTTTGTATATTGATATTCTGTGATCTTACTATGTTCACTTAGTTCTAATCAAACTTTTTTGTAGAATTTTTGGTATTTTATCAAGACTGTCATGTTAGCTGTGAACAAAATCGGTTGTATTTTTTCTTGTCCTATTGATGTGGTTTTATTCTTTGTTCATTATTAAACACAGTATGTATGTTACCTGATGTGTATGTTAGGTTTATTATAGATCTCTCTATCAGGTTGAGGACATTCACTTCCATTTCTAGTTTGCATAAATAAATATATATGAATTTTGTTAAAGAGATGTTTCTTTATCTGCTGATATGATCATGTGGTTTTGCATCTTTGTCAATGAGGTGAATCACCTTGGGTGTTTTTTTTTTTAGAAGTAAAAGAAAAAATATTTTATTAGGAAAAAAAAAAAAGTAGGCTTGGGGACAGAGGATTGGGGGCCTTCAATGTCCTGGTGGTAATTCTGTCCTTCTCAAACGTGGACAGTGACTTCCATGCCTGACACTGTATCCTGATCCACAGCATTCAGCAAAAAAACTCTTCTTGAATTTGCTTCTTGAATTTGAGTGTCATCCTTGTGCAGGGGCCATGCTAATCCTTGTATCTTTACCTTGACTGATTTTTGAATATTGAACTGACTTTTTTTTTTTTTTTTTTTTGGAGATGAAACTCACTTGGTCATGTTATATTATCTTACATGTTATTGGTTTCTATTTGCTAATGTTTGGATGTGAATTTTTGTATTTGTGTTTATGAGGGATATTGGGTCTATAATTTTCACTTCTTAAGATGTTTTTATTGAGCTTTGGTATCAGGTTAATACTTGCCTTTTAAAATGTGTTATTTCTTCTATATTTAGAAACAGTGCCCATAAAATTGATATGATGTCCTACTTAAATGTTTAGTATAATTTTCCATTGAATCCATCTGTGGTTGGAGTTCCTATATGGGAAGATTTTTAACTGTTTCTTATTAAACACAGGGCATTCAGTCTATTTATGGTGAGCTTTGGCAGTTTGTTTCTGTCAAAGATTTTGTATTTCACCTAAATTATCAAAATAATGAGCATGGATTTTTGTAATTTTATTTAAGTATATTTTTAATATTTGTAGTGTCTGTAATGTTATCCCATCATTTATTCCTTATATTGGTTGTTTGTGTCTTCTCTCTATTGTATTTATTTCTTGGATTTTAGAGCTTGATAAGATTTACCAATTTTTTTTGAAGAACTGGCTTTTCATTTAATTGAGTTTTCTTATTTGTTATTCTTTTGTCAGTTTTGTGTCTTGTGCTCTTGTATTTCATTTTCTCCCTTGCTCTTGCTTTGAAATCAATTTGCCGCTCCTTGTCCAGCCTATTAAGGTAGAAGCATAGTTCATTTATTTTAGAAAGTTCTTCTTTTATAATGTAAGTCTTTAATGCTATACATTTCTTTTTAAAGATTACGTTAGCTGTATTCCATACATTTGATATATTGTGCCTTTATGTTCATTCTCTTCAAATTTTTAAAAATTTTTTGTTCTGTTTTCTCTTTCACCCATTGGTTACTTAGAAGGGAGCTAATTTCCAGGGTACCTGAGTAGCTCAGTTGGTTGAGCGTCAGACTCTTGGGTTAGGCTCACGTTGTGATCTCACAGCTCTGTGCTGACAGGGCAGAGCCTAGTTGGGATTCTCTGTCTCCCCCCCCCCTTTCCCTCCCCTGTTCTCTCTCTCTCTAAATGAATGAATGAATGAATTAATGAATGAATGATTGAATAAAAATTTAAACAAGGGAGCTAGTTTTCAAATATTTGAAGATTTTCCCAATATATTTGTTACTTCACTGCAATTCAGTAAGACCAAATAGACCTATAATGACTAGACTTTTAAATATACATTTTTTTTTTATTTTATGACTCACAATATAGCTTTTCTTTCTGAGTATCTCATTTGCACTTGAAAACAATGTGCATTTTCTGTTCTCACTAAAGAGGGGTTATAAATATCAATTAGGCCAAATGCTTTGATATTGTTGTTTATATTTTGTTCATTCAAGTATTGAAAGGGGAATATTAATGTCTCCAAATATAATTGTGGATGTGTAATAGTACTTTTACTGCTATTAGTTGTTGCTTCATGTTTGCTTTGTTATGAGATGTATGCACATTTAGGAATTATATATTTTCTTGGGGAATTGTCATCTTTATCATTTTGTGATGTCATTATTTAACTCATAAACGTCCTTGTTCTGAAGTCTACTTTATGTGACATTAATGTAGCTGTTACTGCTTTCTTTCCATTTCTACTTGCAATGATATGCTTTACTTTTTAGCCTATCTCTGTCTTTACGTTTATGTGGTTTTATTGTACGCAGCATATAGTTTGGTATATATAAAATATCCAATATGTCAGTCTCTGATTTTAATTGACTCTTTCATGTACTTTGAATTACCTTCAAAGTAATTATTGAGGGTGGATTAAAATTTACCATCTTGCTAGCTGTTTTCTATTTGTTCCATCTGTTCATTTTTCCTCTTTCTGTGTCTTATTTTATATTAACAATTTTATAATTTTGATTATCCCCACCATTGACTTCTTTCCACATTAAATAATGGCCCTGGGTTTGAAAATATCCACCCTTTATTAATCAGTTTCTACCTTTACATAAAATTATGTCTGCTCTACATGCAGTACAATGACCTTAAAAGGGTACACTCCATTTTTCCTTTTTTGTACTATTATTGCTATACATTTCCTTTTTTATACATGCTACAAACACACAATACATTACTATTAATTTCGCTTTAAACATTCAGTCACCTTATAGAAATAGTAGTATAAGTTCCAGTGCACATTATTAATAGGGTAGGTCCAAATTTCTGTCTTGTATTAACTCTTCCATCTGAAACACCTCCTTTAACATTATATAGTGCAGGCCTATTGGCAATATACCCTCTTAATGTTTTGCCTGATGGTTAGTCCCATCTTCAACTATGTAAGATTTTTTGATGAATTTATAATTCTGATTGAACAGTGGGTTTTTTCTTTTCAATATTTAAATTATTTAAATTATCAATATTTTTAAAATATGTCCCATTTTTTCTGACTTCACCAAGTGTCTGATGGAATTCACTGTCAGGTAAACAAGGGCTTATATTTTACTTCCTTTTGAAGGTATCTGACTTTCCTTAGTTTAAGGTTAGTTGATTGTCCTGTCACTTTGGTTCTCTGATGGATTTAAGAGAAGTTATGAATCTGAAGGCTGTCAGAGTTTGTTGCTTGCGGTGGTGGTAGGATGGAAATGATACTTATCAAACTCCATCCTAAGTGAAAGCCAGAAATCAGTAAGTATAATATTAATAAAAGTTAACTGGACTTTCCAAGAAGATATCTATGAAAAGCATTTTACCTTTAGCTACTCATGCTTTAACTAGAGAATAAAAGTTCATTTTCTTTTCACATCTGCAGTTCAAACTGGAGAGATAGAGGAGCTCCTGGGTGGCTCAGATAGTCAAGCGCCGGGCTCTTGGTTTCGGCTCAAGCCATGATCTCACGGTTTGTGGGTTCAACCCCTGCATCAGACTGTCTGCTGTCAGCACAGACCCCACTTTGGGTCCCCCGTCCCCGTCTCTATCTGTTCCTCCCTTGCTTGCAGCCTCTCTGTCTCTCTCTCTCTCAAAAATAAACATTAAAAAAACAAAAAAATCCCCACAAAACTGCAGATAGAGAACAGCTTGTCCTCCTCCATGTAATGACCTTTGTTTGTAGATTGATTTCCTTTCAATTGCTTGATACGTTCAGTAAAGCGAAAAAAGTGCAATGTCATAGTATTTATTACATAAGCAATGGATTTATTAATGTTTGTTATATAAGTAATACTAGCTTTCAGCTATTTAATATATGAAGTCTCAGAACAACGTTCATACTTGCACTCCACTTTCTTCTGAAAAAAATTAAACCTAAGAATTGAACATCAGGTAGTAAAATAGTAGTACCCCGTGCGATAAGTTTTTTAAGATGTCCTGTCATTTTTTGGAAGCATCAAACTTTTTTTAATTTAAATATATTAAATTTATTGTCAAATTGGTTTCCATGCAACACCCAGTGCTCATCCCAAAAGATGCCCTCTTCAATACGCATCACCCACCCTCCCCTCCCTCCCACTCCCCATCAGCCCTCAGTTTGTTCTCTGTTTTTAAGAGTCTCTTAGGAAGCACCAAACTTTTTATTCATCTTTGTGGATATTCAAAAATTGGATAATATAATCTATTATATATTTTTACAGTCTTAGAAACGTGTTTGTCAAACCCAGGAAGTTAATAAATTTCATTCTTCCTCATCCATGTTTTCCCTGATCTGTGCTATATTGTAGTGGTGAAATCAGTAACAAAGAATTTATGTTTCCTACGTTCTTGTCCTAAAGCTAAGAAAAAAAAAAAGAAAAAAATGTTTAAAAACCTATTGTTAATAGAATATTTTAAAAAATATGTATGCTATACTTCACCAGTGGTTATAATATTTTTTTATATTTATTTATTTTTTTTTATTTATATATGAAATTTATTGTCAAATTGGTTTCCATACAACACCCAGTGCTCATCCCAAAAGGTGCCCTCCTCAATACCCATCACCCACCCTCTCCTCCCTCCCACCCCCCATCAACCCTCAGTTTGCTCTAATATTAATTCAACCTAAGGGGGTAAAGAGTTCTGTTTTTTCAAGAATGGTGATGACTTCTCCTGATATTGCCTTTTGCATCATTTACAATAAGCATCACTAAACCATAGCATTATATGCATAAGGGTACAGTATCTTGAATTATTTAATACACTATGTTTATACAAGCAACCATATGGATGAGTTCCATTTTTTATTATATAAGCCCTGACTTTTGTTCTTTAAATTTTTTATCAGTGTCATTCAGTATAAAGAGTTTAAACACTTTCTTTAATAAACTGGTGAGGGAACAAATATTCTGCACATTTTTTTGCATTCTCTTAAAAATAGTAATCACATTTTATTTTAAATTCCAAAGGAAACAAATATAATTTAATTTTTCACTGGTATATCATAAAAGATATCAAATTTATCTTGTGGGATGGGATAAAAATTTCATACAAATATGACAATGGACCATTTGGTATTCAGAATTCCACTGGGACTGCTTCTGTGTATTGCATAGAACTTTTCTGATTAGACATAACCAAGTGATTCTAATTTGTGAAATTTTCTTAAACTTAACAGCTGCCTCATTTTTAAAATGTGCCTCGCTAGACTCATCAGCATGAAAAATGTCAGAAGATAATTCATTTTGGAAATTGAGATTGGTGGCTCCTCTTTTCATAAAAATGAGGACCTCACCATATTTTGAAATAGGTATATTTTTTACATGTATACTTTGGAAATGGTCACAGTCTTAAAAGTTGGACTACATGAATGTTCACAATTTGGAGATGCTGAAAAATATTAGTTTTTTATAATTGTATTTCTTCCTATTTATTATCTCTAGTTATTATTCTATTAAGCATTAAATTCACATCATTGTATCTAGTTTCAAGAAGCAAAGCAAAATAAACACATTAGCTGCATATTCTATCTTCTCTCTACAACGTTGTAAGTAATTAATGTAAGTTTGGTTTAGAAAAAATGCTCATAC